CCTCTGTAGTCCTGCTGGTGTAGTCTTCTGCGTATGGTAGACTTTGACACATCTACACCTGCATCCAGGAGAGTGTTTTTGATCTGTTGGGCTGTTATCAGGGTTTTTTTCTTAACCATAGAGAGTATTCTCCGGTCATCCACTACAGTGGTCTTCCTCTGTCTACCGGGTCTTTTGACATAATTGAGTTCACCGGTTGTTTTTTTCTTGTTAATGATGAACAAAACTGTTGACTTGGGCATGGCCAGGGTTTTTGCAATGTTCCTGAATGATTGATTTTCATTTCTGAGCCTTTTGACGGCCAACTTCATTTGCATCGACACTGCTGTCTTCCTCATGTTGTCACACCCCAATAACAACCTCCAAAGGCAATACCAACGTCTAGAATCATTACTATTCATCAACAGCTCTCCTGCATTCACTAACGACACAAATTAATACACCTGCCTAACGACACACATCTGTGAAGCCAATTTAACAAATACTTGTAGTACCTTAAAATGGGGGGACCATGTACAAAAGGTGCTGTCATTTCTAAATGATTCATCCGATATGTATGAAAATACCCTCAAATTAAAGCTGACAGTCTGCACTTCACCCTCATTGTCATTGTATCCTTTCAAACTCAAAGTGCTAGAGTACAGAACCAAAATAACAAAAAAATGGTCACTGTCCAGTGAATTATGGAGCTCACTGTATATATATATATATATATATATATATATATATATATATATATATATATATATATATATATATATATATATATATAGTGTATTGTTGAGGTAGTGTAACTTCCTATATTAGTCTGTGAAGAGGGAGTCGTACAGACAGCAGGGGTTGGTGAGAAAAGCTGAACGTCTCTTAATGACTCCTCAAAACAGAACTTTAAAAAATAAAAATTCAAGCAATATTCGGAAAATCTTAAACAGATCGCCTCGCTAAATACTAAATTTGGGACCTAACATAGTTAAAAAGCTGTTGTTTCTACTCTATTCAACAGAGTCCCAGAGCTCCACGTTGCTGTTGTTTCATTCCAACAGAGTCCCAAAGCTCCACGTTGCTGTTGTTTCATTCCAACAGAGTCCCAAAGCTCCACGTTGCTGTTGTTTCATTCCAACAGAGTCCCAGAGCTCCACGTTGCTGTTGTTTCATTCCAACAGAGTCCCAAAGCTCCACGTTGCTGTTGTTTCATTCCAACAGAGTCCCAGAGCTCCACGTTGCTGTTGTTTCATTCCAACAGAGTCCCAAAGCTCCACGTTGCTGTTGTTTCATTCCAACAGAGTCCCAAAGCTCCACGTTGCTGTTGTTTCATTCCAACAGAGTCCCAAAGCTCCACGTTGCTGTTGTTTCATTCCAACAGAGTCCCAGAGCTCCACGTTGCTGTTGTTTCATTCCAACAGAGTCCCAAAGCTCCACGTTGCTGTTGTTTCATTCCAACAGAGTCCCAGAGCTCCACGTTGCTGTTGTTTCATTCCAACAGAGTCCCAAAGCTCCACGTTGCTGTTGTTTCATTCCAACAGAGTCCCAAAGCTCCACGTTGCTGTTGTTTCATTCCAACAGAGTCCCAAAGCTCCACGTTGCTGTTGTTTCATTCCAACAGAGTCCCAAAGCTCCACGTTGCTGTTGTTTCATTCCAACAGAGTCCCAGAGCTCCACGTTGCTGTTGTTTCATTCCAACAGAGTCCCAGGGTAAGCCTTAGAGCAGACCCGGGATGCGTTCCAAATGGCCTATATAGTGCACTACTTTCGACCAGAGCCATATGGAACTCCAGTCAGAAGCAGCGCACTATAAAAGGGAATAGGGTGTCATTTGGGACGAATCCCCAGTCTGATGTAATGAACACCTTCCCAGAATTCTATTCTACTCACAGGAATGACCTCAGAGCTGGTGGCATTCACTTCATTAATGACGATGAGTCACCAAACAACTGCTGCTTTTTTTTCCAGTTGGCCCTAGTTCACAAACAACACAGACTAACGTTTCGATGAATGACGATGACCAATGAGGATCAGTTGTTTGGGAGTAAATGGTGACTTAGTTTTCAAAACAAGAAGTAAGAAACGTTCAGAAAAGTCTCGTTCCACACTTACAGGGGTTTGTGTGTGTGGGGGATGTGTGAAACCTTCTCCTCAGCCTGAAGTGTCGTTCCACACTTACAGGGGTTTGTGTGTGTGGGGGATGTGTGAAACCTTCTCCTCAGCCTGAAGTGTCCCCACTTGCGCCAGCCAATAGCTAGCTTTTTTGCGTGGCGCCGACAGGTAAGACGCTTCAAGAGGGCGGTGGTACTCACTTAGCAAGCAGCATGCGTCCTTTACCTGTGGTACTCACTTAGCAAGCAGCTACATGCGTCCTTAACCTCACGTAGCTAGCAAGCAGCATGCGTCCTTTACCGTGGTACTCACTTAGCAAGCAGCATGCGTCCTTTACCTGTGGTACTCACTTAGCAAGCAGCATGCGTCCTTTACCTGTGGTACTCACTTAGCAAGCAGCATGCGTCCTTTACCTGTGGTACTCACTTAGCAAGCAGCATGCGTCCTAGAGGGGCGGTGGTACTCACTTAGCAAGCAGCATGCGTCCTTTACATGTGGTACTCACTTAGCAAGCAGCATGCGTCCTTTACCTGTGGTACTCACTTAGCAAGCAGCATGCGTCCTTTACCTGTGGTACTCACTTAGCAAGCAGCATGCGTCCTTTACCTGTGGTACTCACTTAGCAAGCAGCATGCGTCCTTTACCTGTGGTACTCACTTAGCAAGCAGCATGCGTCCTTTACCTGTGGTACTCACTTAGCAAGCAGCATGCGTCCTTTACCTGTGGTACTCACTTAGCAAGCAGCATGCGTCCTTTACATGTGGTACTCACTTAGCAAGCAGCATGCGTCCTTTACATGTGTGTTTCGCTTACACTCAGTTTATTTACGAGGGGGAAAGTATAGAATATCTGCTATCTCTGAACCTTTGTGTCATAAACATAACCTTTGTGCTGTTTAAATTGATCATTGTTGAGTTAAGTACATGCAATGAACACTCCAACCACCCAAAGGTTACTGGAAGAAAAGCAGCAGTGAAGGGGTTTCCCCATTTCAGATACACTCAAATTGAAAGTCCAACTGTCATGTCAAAAGAAGGTTCCTATTAATTAACACCAGAAACTCCCCAACATAACCATAGTGGTTTCTCTTTTTTCCAACCATGAAGGCAACACTCTGCCACAACAAAAGAACGGAGTGGAGACATACATCTAGTAAATCCACCTAGTCAAACTTCCAGGTAAAAAGACATACAATCACCTCCAGTTTAGGGTCCATTTACACACCCAGAATACAGACACTTGGAGTTGTAGGACAGACAATGGAATAAATTAGCAATACCCACAGGTAACTGCCAAAATAAAGGAAACGCCAACATAAAGTGTCTTAATAGGGCGTTGGGTCACCGCGAGCCAGAACAGCTTCAATGCACTTTGGCATAGATTCTATAAGTGTCTGGAACTCTATTGGAGGGTTGCGACACCAATCTTCCACGAGAAATTGCATCGTTTGGTGTTTTATTGATGGTGGTGGTGGTAAACGCTGTCTCAGGCGCCGCTCCAGAATCTCCCAGAAGTGTTCAATTGGGTTGAGATCTGGTGACTGAGACGGCCATGGTCATATGGTTTACATCGTTTTCATGCTCATCAAACCATTCAGTGACCGCTCGTGCCCTGTGGATGGGGGCATTGTCATCCTATGGGGGCATAGCCATGGTAGCCAAAATAATGGCCTGCCCAGCATTTTCATACATAATAATAATATGACCTTAAGCTTGATGGAATGTTAATTGCTTTATTAACTCAGGAACCACACCTGTGTGGGAAGCACCTGCTTTCAATATACTTTGTATCGCTCATTTACTCAAGCGTTTCCTTTATTTTGGCAGTTACCGGTATAATGTTATGTTCTTCGTCTGATAAAACAAAGCCCAGGTCAGGAATACTGCCAGTGTCATGCATGAGCCCCCTACAGCTGACAATCAAGCTGTCTGACAGCCAACAGGTCTTTAATAGGAGCCCATGAAAATAGATGGCAGCTTAGTTTCCAGAGTTAGCAGGGTGATAGAACTAGGCCTACAGTATTAAACATGAATGACAGAGCTCTTCTTCAATGTAACAAACCATTTACTGTTTCTGAATTGGCGCAAGATGTGATGATTCTAGGCCCGCTTCCTGTCGCCAATTCGTTCCACTAACTGTCAACAGCATACAGTAGAGAATTATAGGTAATGTAGCATTTTCAGCAGCATGCCGTTGTTCAAAACCCCACTCAATTTTAGAAAGAGAAACGGACCTATTGTTGATATGAAGGTAGTGTTGAACGCATCTTCGCTGAATCGGAAGAGGAGACATGTCTTGCCGACACCGCTGTCCCCGATGAGTAGCAATTTAAAAAGGTAATCATAGGTTTTCGACATCTCTTCACCCTCGCTTCTTTCTTCCCGAAATGTGCTAGACTGTCTGGAACGTAGCAAACACTTTGTAGCTATCCGCTGCTGTCGACACCTTCTCCGACCCGACACTAACCAGCCATACAGTCCAGGGAGGAAACGAGGCGATAGTTTAGTGACGTTACACAGAGGAGGCGGGACGGAAGCTAAGGAACCTAGGACGGAAGCGCGGTAGTCACTAGTTACCACAGCCACAAAGTCAGAATCATACTTTGTTTTTTATGTAGCCAATTCTGACAACCCGGAAGCATCCTCTCCTCTGGGTTGACAGATTGGTAGTATATTGTCACACTGAGAATTTTCCCCCAATTACAAAACTCCAGACTGAATCAGCTGACAAATGTTTGACGATATTATATAGGTCAAAGTGACCTTCCATAAACACAGATGGTTGACTGAGGGATACGAGATAATAAGTCATCAAATCCCTGTGAAAATTAACCCAACTTGCTTTGCAATAACAATACACTGTTCTTCAACTCTTCCTGTTTAACAGAAATAAATGAGACGTCAGGCTTTAAGTCATGTAATCTTATGTTTTATGTATGGAACTGAAAAGAGCTGCATAAACATGAGACACTGGTACAATCCAATCCATTCATGCACAGGAAACCGACTGGTAGAAATAATAAATAAAGTACAATTAAGCTGTTAGCATTACATTTACCATTAAAAAAAAAAAAAAACTAGCAACTATCAGAACCACTGCCGGACAACACAGGTGGAGTGCTCCGCAGTATAGAGGCTAGTATAACTTTGGGGAAGTTTGCCCCATGAAATGATTCCATTCCATTTAGGTAATGTCATGTGAGTAAAATTGTGCGTAAATACACCTTAAGAGGGAATATCCATCCATATACAGGGTGCGTTCCAGGTTGTGATTTATTGCAGTCACACCGCACGGATTATCGAATGTCTATTTCTAGAAAACCTGGAGAATTGTCTCTTCTCAGGAACCTACATAAATATGATATAGTAATCTAAGATGTGCAGTGGCATCGTGACTGCAGTACTGACAACCTGGAACACGCCCAGAGTCTTTAGGAGTAAAGTTCAAAGAAGTGGTTGAATTCTTATGAAGTCTTCTTCAGAGTCAACAGTTGTAGTTTCAGTCCATGTCTCGCACTCTACGGCAGATCTCCTCTGTAAACTCGGAGCACTTTGACTTCCCACCAAGGTCCCCCGTCAGCACCTGGGAGAGGAGAGAAACAGCCAAATGAATTCATTTAAAAAAAGCCAAAGCAGATTTTTGCATACAAATGACCAACTGACAAAAAAAAAAAAAAACTGTCATCTTGTTAGATCTACAGAAAGAATACATAAGAGCATTGGGCACCGGAAGGAGGTGTGGTGTCCAGGGGAACCAACATATTGTAAACCAACTACCCAAACATTCGCCTCCCTCCCCTTAGGCATCGGATAGAAGAGAGCAGACGCTCTGAGCTGTCCTCCAATAACAAGGAACTACTCCTCCTCCTCCCCGGGGCACCTCCACTTCAAAATGTATTCCGGCACCGATACGCAAGAGCCACAATAGTCACTATTGGGGTAAAAAAATAAAATAAAAAAAATGACCCCACCTGCTTGTCTCTGATGGTGTCGAAGCAGGCGGTCTCGATCTTCTTGCCGTAGTCGTGCATTCCCATGTGACGCAGCATCATCACAGCGCTGAGCAGCAGAGCCGTAGGGTTGGCCATGTCCAGACCGGCTATATCAGGGGCCGTCCCGTGGACCTGGATACATTTTTACATTTTAGCAGACGCTCTTATCCAGAGCCACTTACAGTTAGTGAGTGCATACATTTTTTCATACCCTCAGGGTACAGGGATAATATTAAAACTTCTACTCCCAACACTGGAACAGCTTCCGTACATTGATTAGAATGGACGACTTATTGAAATATATTATTGTTTTGTTGAAGAGTGGGAAGTCCAAACATATATTTAGGTATTGCACTGGCACAGGACAAGAAGCCCATGCATTCTATCAAAACAGTTGAGACAGAGTAGCTAAACATCTTTCGGATAACAACGGCCAGGTAAAGCGGGAGACAAACCGATTCAAAAATGGCGACTCCGTTGGCGCCAATGTTTCCACTAGGAGTGACTCCCAGACCTCCAATAAGTCCAGCACAAAGATCACTGCAATACATGACACACACACACACAACACTATCAGTAGCCACAGCCTTTAGTAAGCAGAATCATCTAGGTCACATTAACGCAACACATATTAAAGTCAGTCGCTTTGGATAAAAGCGTCTGCTAAATGGCATATTATTATTATTATTATAAAGCCAGTATTGGGCCCCATACGACCAAACTCTGCTAAGCTATTCATGTTTGAATTAATAGCTTAAAACGCATTGCATTTTAATAGCGGTTAATGAATATAGATCCATTGAAATCAATAGAAAGTGACCTGAGAATGTCCCCGTACAGGTTGGGCATCACCAGCACGTCAAACTGGGTCGGATCTTGCACCATCTGAAACATTCAACACCAGAACCTGATTAAGCCCCCATTTCCATCAACTGCTTCAACATGAGAAACTCATTCAGCCTAATTTCCCCCCCCAATCTACTGCTTCCGGGTCATCTGCTAGGTCTGCGCCAAACGAAACGACGCAATATCGAACTTCCCACTCCCGTCGGCATGGACACATCTCTGCGTCCGCGCACGTCACCTTTCAAGGGAGGTGCGCGAAAACACGCAGACGGGAGCAGACCTTCGATTGAAGCGGTAGGTGTAAATGAGGCTTTAGGACAGAGAATGTGACATGCATCAAAACAGCGTCAAGTAGTAGAATAGTGTAAAGGAGTGTACACACGTTGAGACACACGGTGTCCAGGTACATCTCAGTAAACTTGATGTCCTTGAAGCTCTCAGCCACCTCTCTGCATTTCCTCAGGAACAGCCCATCCGACATACGCCTAGTCAAAACATCAAAACCCGAGGCACATTAGTTTAATTTTAATTTATTTAAACCTTTATTTAACTAGGCAAGTCAGTTAAGAACAAATTCTTATTTACAATGACGGCTTTACACCGGCCAAACCCGGACGACGCTGGGCCAATTGTGCGCCGCCCTATGGGACTCCCAATCACGGCCGGTTGTGATACAGCCTGGAATCGAACCAGGGGGTCTGTAGTGACGCCTCAAGCACTGAGATGCAGTGCCTTAGACCGCTGCGCCACTCGGGAGCCCAAATGCCTGAATAGTGGTGCCATTGATATGCTCATTATGATATTTTATTTATTTAAATAAAACATTTATTTGAGCGTATCGTTTTGTATTGCTAGGTATTACTGCACTTTGGAGCAAAGAACGTAAGCATTTCGCTGCACCTGCGATAACATCTGCTAAAATATGTGTACGTGACCAACAACATTTTCATTTTATATATTATCATTCTGTTTTGACTGTAATTGACCCCATGGTGATCACACATTTAGTCAACATTTGTTATAAAACATACAAGTTAGATTTTTACTGATCATCGCTTCTCATTTTGAAATGATCCACAAGGATAAAAAAATGTAACATTTCTAAAAAGATTCCACAGCCCATTTGATTCTGGAGCTGTAAGACTTACATGATGTTGGCTTTGTGAACTGCCGTGACGCTGTTTCTTTGGTTATTTCTTGCATACTCAAAGGCATACTCAGCGATACGTCGACTGGCATCTTCCGTGATGAGTTTGATGCTCTGAACCACGCCGTCAACGATCTACCACACAAGAGGAGGAGACCATCACATTAGCCTAAATCAAACAATGGATGACTTCATTAACCATACAGAATAAAAAATATTTTGAATCAGTGATGTAGTCACTCAAGACCTACATGGGTCATAAAATGTTCTGAGGGACAGTAACAACTGGGAAAGACAACGGAGCTACTTTAAAAACAATTTAACTAGAAAAATTAAAGTGGAAGAGAAGATTTATATAAAGATATTCATAACCATCAGTGGAGAAATGTAAAGTCCTCTCAGCCTGTGGTGGCGACTACATCCAATGGGATTTCACTGTAAAGGAAGTGACGTCATCAAGAAGTTACAGATGTGCCATCTTTAATTTGACCAGTTTCGCACAGCAGGAAAATAATCCTGCAGCAACAGGAAATGTTAATTATTATGTCGATTATTATTAAAATTGACATTTTTGTAGGGGTAGATACATTTTTTCATTTGGGCAAATCAAGTCTGACATTTTAAAGTGGAAATTATAAAACTTTAGAAGCCTTTTTAAAACATTGAACACACTACAAGTTCGCATTTCCTGCTTAAAATTCTCTGCGACAAGAGCGATCAAATTAAGATAGCAGCTATGTAGGAATAACATACAATACCTTTAGTTGAGAAAAAAAAACGAAGTGAAGAAAGGAGAACTTAGAGAGAGAATTTGATGAACATACATTAGGGCACACTAGGGTTAGAGACTGGGGTGGTGGTCTGGTTAGTGGAGCTGCTGTTCCTCTGGCTTCCCTAAGGAACACCTGGAGAATAACCAAACTGGGGTGGTGGTCTGGTTAGTGAAGCTGCTGTTCCTCTGGCTTCCCTAAGGAACACCTGGAGAATAACCAAACTGGGGTGGTGGTCTGGTTAGTGAAGCTGCTGTTCCTCTGGCTTCCCTAAGGAACACCTGGAGAATAACCAAACTGGGGTGGTGGTCTGGTTAGTGAAGCTGCTGTTCCTCTGGCTTCCCTAAGGAACACCTGGAGAATAACCAAACTGGGGTGGTGGTCTGGTTAGTGGAGTTGCTGTTCCTCTGGCTTCCCTAAGGAACACCTGGAGAATAACCAAACTGGGGTGGTGGTCTGGTTAGTGAAGCTGCTGTTCCTCTGGCTTCCCTAAGGAACACCTGGAGAATAACCAAACTGGGGTGGTGGTCTGGTTAGTGAAGCTGCTGTTCCTCTGGCTTCCCTAAGGAACACCTGGAGAATAACCAAACTGGGGTGGTGGTCTGGTTAGTGAAGCTGCTGTTCCTCTGGCTTCCCTAAGGAACACCTGGAGAATAACCAAACTGGGGTGGTGGTCTGGTTAGTGAAGCTGCTGTTCCTCTGGCTTCCCTAAGGAACACCTGGAGAATAACCAAACTGGGGTGGTGGTCTGGTTAGTGAAGCTGCTGTTCCTCTGGCTTCCCTAAGGAACACCTGGAGAATAACCAAACTGGGGTGGTGGTCTGGTTAGTGAAGCTGCTGTTCCTCTGGCTTCCCTAAGGAACACCTGGAGAATAACCAAACTGGGGTGGTGGTCTGGTTAGTGAAGCTGCTGTTCCTCTGGCTTCCCTAAGGAACACCTGGAGAATAACCAAACTGGGGTGGTGGTCTGGTTAGTGGAGCTGCTGTTCCTCTGGCTTCCCTAAGGAACACCTGGAGAATAACCAAACTGGGGTGGTGGTCTGGTTAGTGAAGCTGCTGTTCCTCTGGCTTCCCTAAGGAACACCTGGAGAATAACCAAACTGGGGTGGTGGTCTGGTTAGTGGAGCTGCTGTTCCTCTGGCTTCCCTAAGGAACACCTGGAGAATAACCAAATCACCTGTGTTGTGTTGTGCCCTGTCCAACCCAGATAAAACGGTTTCAATAACCGAGAACACATTCCACACAACACCACACTGAAAATACGGACGGCTCAGCTCTAAGCCTTAAACAGCTGCATATAAAAGAGCTGAAAAAACGACTGACCAGAGTAGTCACATCACAGTTAACGTGACATTCAGTCAAACCATTCGCAACCATTTCTAGTGCTGACATTTGCTCTGGAATCTACACCAGATGCCCTAATAAGGACCCACTCGAGTGTTGAAATACTGGGTCATGTTCAGCAGGGCACAACGTAGCCGTTAATAATAATAATAATAATAACCTGAACATTCTTCTTGGACATGTTCAGGTAGGACCTCTTTTGTTTCACCTCCATTTCAAAACATTCTCTACCATTTCATACCTAATGAACACATCCCTGCATGGTATTGCTGTAAGAATATTCCATCCAGAGGAATACTACGAAGCAGGATCAAGGAGTTAGCTAGCTGACTAGATATTCTGACTCAACAAACAAAAACAACCTTTCTAAGTTTAGCTTTCTTAATTAACCCAAAAGAAATCCATAGTTATTTCTGGTTGTTTATCAAAGTTAGCTGGCTAACTCATTGATCCTGCTTTGTAGTATATTACCCCTCTGGTCAGTAGGAGGGATCAGCCAATTAATTATTCTCCTGAACAAACGTTCCAGCAAACATACGAAGTAGCTACTGCTACGTACTACATGTTTTATCCCTCTGTAGTCAGTGTTAGCTGCAGCCATTTTAACATACGAGGTAGCTACCGCTACGTGTTCTATCTATCACTCTGTAGTCAGTGTTAGCTGCAGGCATTTTAACAGACGAGGTAGCTACCGCTACGTGTTCTATCACTCTGTAGTCAGTGTTAGCTGCAGCCATTTTAACATACGAGGTAGCTACCGCTACGTGTTCTATCCCTCTGTAGTCAGTGTTAGCTGCAGCCATTTTAACATACGAGGTAGCTACCGCTACGTGTTCTATCACTCTGTAGTCTGTGTTAGCTGCAGCCATTTTAACATACGAGGTAGCTACCGCTACGTGTTCTATCCCTCTGTAGTCAGTGTTAGCTGCAGCCATTTTAACATACGAGGTAGCTACCGCTACATGTTCTATCACTCTGTAGTCAGTGTTAGCTGCAGCCATTTTAACATACGAGGTAGCTACCGCTACGTGTTCTATCACTCTGTAGTCAGTGTTAGCTGCAGGCATTTTAACATACGAGGTAGCTACCGCTACGTGTTCTATCACTCTGTAGTCTGTGTTAGCTGCAGCCATTTTAACATACGAGGTAGCTACCGCTACGTGTTCTATCCCTCTGTAGTCAGTGTTAGCTGCAGCCATTTTAACATACGAGGTAGCTACCGCTACGTGTTCTATCCCTCTGTAGTCAGTGTTAGCTGCAGCCATTTTAACATACGAGGTAGCTACCGCTACATGTTCTATCACTCTGTAGTCAGTGTTAGCTGCAGCCATTTTAACATACGAGGTAGCTACCGCTACATGTTCTATCACTCTGTAGTCAGTGTTAGCTGCAGCCATTTTAACATACGAGGTAGCTACCGCTACGTGTTCTATCACTCTGTAGTCAGTGTTAGCTGCAGCCATTTTAACATATGAGGTAGCTACCGCTACGTGTTCTATCACTCTGTAGTCAGTGTTAGCTGCAGCCATTTTAACATACGAGGTAGCTACCGCTACGTGTTCTATCCCTCTGTAGTCAGTGTTAGCTGCAGCCATTTTAACATACGAGGTAGCTACCGCTACGTGTTCTATCCCCCTGTAGTCAGTGTTAGCTGCAGCCATTTTAACATACGAGGTAGCTACCGCTACGTGTTCTATCACTCTGTAGTCAGTGTTAGCTGCAGCCATTTTAACATACGAGGTAGCTACCGCTACGTGTTCTATCACTCTGTAGTCAGTGTTAGCTGCAGCCATTTTAACATACGAGGTAGCTACCGCTACGTGTTCTTTCCCTCTGTAGTCAGTGTTAGCTGCAGCCATTTTAACATACGAAGTAGCTACCGCTACGTGTTCTATCACTCTGTAGTCAGTGTTAGCTGCAGCCATTTTAACATACGAAGTAGCTACCGCTACGTGTTCTATCCCTCTGTAGTCAGTGTTAGCTGCAGCCATTTTAACATACGAGGTAGCTACCGCTACGTGTTCTATCCCCCTGTAGTCAGTGTTAGCTGCAGCCATTTTAACATACGAGGTAGCTACCGCTACGTGTTCTATCACTCTGTAGTCAGTGTTAGCTGCAGCCATTTTAACATACGAGGTAGCTACCGCTACGTGTTCTATCACTCTGTAGTCAGTGTTAGCTGCAGCCATTTTAACATACGAGGTAGCTACCGCTACGTGTTCTATCACTCTGTAGTCAGTGTTAGCTGCAGCCATTTTAACATACGAGGTAGCTACCGCTACATGTTCTATCACTCTGTAGTCAGTGTTAGCTGCAGCCATTTTAACATACGAGGTAGCTACCGCTACGTGTTCTTTCCCTCTGTAGTCAGTGTTAGCTGCAGGCATTTTAACATACGAGGTAGCTACCGCTACGTGTTCTATCACTCTGTAGTCAGTGTTAGCTGCAGGCATTTTAACATACGAGGTAGCTACCGCTACGTGTTCTATCCCTCTGTAGTCAGTGTTAGCTGCAGGCATTTTAACATACGAGGTAGCTACCGCTACGTGTTCTATCACTCTGTAGTCAGTGTTAGCTGCAGGCATTTTAACATACGAGGTAGCTACCGCTACGTGTTCTATCCCTCTGTAGTCAGTGTTAGCTGCAGCCATTTTAACATACGAGGTAGCTACCGCTACGTGTTCTTTCCCTCTGTAGTTTCCCCCCCTCACTGTTAGCTGCAGCCATTTTACAGATTGACACATTCACTTTGAAATCCACACATTTGAAAAATCGGTTTCACTCAAAACATTCTCTTCCATATCCCTCCTACTGAACGTGACCCTGTTACCATAGCTACTTACTATGTGCTCGATGCCGCTGTACTCTCCCTCAGTGTTCTCCCTGATGGTGACCAGGTCGACGTCGGTGTAGGGGGTCTTGTAGCCCTCGATGGACACGCAGGGACGCACATTGGCATACAGGTCAAAGGTCTTCCTGAGTAGCAGGTTCATGGAGGGGTGGCCGGCTGCGATGGGCGTCTTCAGGGGGCCTACACACACAGAGGAGGGCGGAGGTTAAAAGTCCAACGCAGACGTTTTTATCTCAACATCAAATCATTTCTGGCTAACAACGGAGTACCTTAGTGTGATTGTTTTCAGGTGGTCACCGGGCTAAACTCCATCCCACCACAAGAGGCGGACATTTCTGGCGGTCTTTTAATACAGCTCTTACACTAAAATGGGCATTTTCCTCATGTTCAAAACATCATAGTAATATTCCAACCTCAGTGTGGAAATATATATTTTTTAAAAACACAGGAAAATCAATTTTTTGACTGCACTGGGCCTTTAAAACAACAGGTTACTGTTCATTAGGAACCAAACAGAAGTAAACAGACCGAAACAGGGAGGGACTACCTGTACTTCAAATAAAATACTTGTTTCCAATTTTCAGTTGCAAAACTTTTTCAAACATGTTCTGTTTGCATCTACTGAATACTGCTTTACTCGTCTCATGTATATACTCTATTCTACTGTATTTTAGTCAATGCCACTCCGACATTGCTCGTCCTAATATGTATATTTCTTAATTCCATTCTTTTACTTTTAGAATTGTGTGTATTATTGTGAATTGTTAGATACTACTGCACTGTTGGAACTAGGAGCACAAGCATTTCGCTACACCCGCAATAACATCTGCTATATATGTGACCAATAATAATAATAATAATAACAATATGCCATTTAGCAGACGCTTTTATCCAAAGCGACTTACAGTCATGCGTGCATACATTTTTTGTGTATGGGTGGTCCCGGGGATCGAACCCACTACCTTGGCGTTACAAGCGCCGTGCTCTACCAGTTGAGCTACAGAGGACTTGATTTGAACCCAACATACTATCCCCTGTGAACCCTACATACTATCCCCTATGAACTCAACTCCATCCCCTATGAACTCAACTCCATCCCCTGTGAACTCAACTCCATCCCCTGTGAACTCAACTCCATCCCCATATGAACTCAACTCCATCCCCTATGAACTCAACTCCATCCCCATATGAACTCAACTCCATCCCCATATGAACTCAACTCCATCCCATATGAACTCAACTCCATCCCCTTTGATGCCGCCTGCAGGAGGGTCTTCTTTTTCAGCCGACTTCAGTACATTATGTACATCATGAGCATGCAGGTCCCTGCTACCATAGAATTCCATAGGATCTCTGTGGCTGCTACCTACCTTTTAACCCGATCAGGGTCCTGTCCATAGACTCCTTACAGTCTGGAGGGATCATCCATCTACCACCTGGGCCCTGGATAGCCGTCACATTCCTCTCCTCCCACTGGATTGGAACCTAACGGGTGGTAAAGAGAGGACTTAGAACGGTACAGAAAGGAATCCAGTTAAATGTTCTGTAAAACTTTCCATGCAAATGGCATCATGTTCTGCTGTTAACCCTACAATTTGCTGTGTGTGAGAGAGAGTTTGACAGCTTTTCCAGCTTACCTTAGCAGACTCGAAAATCTTCATGACAGCCACAGATATTTCTGGACCGATTCCATCCCCAGGAATTAATGTAACAGTTTGCAGCTGTAAAGAGAAAACAAACCCCTTTTAAAATCTGTTTTAAAGGGATTACATATTAGGACTGACCTTAGGCCATGGTTGGAAAGGTAATCCATAACACACTAAACACTGGATCATGAATTACGTAATTTCAGCATTTTTGGCAACGAGGGAGAACTTGTATAAAAAGACAGGTGTAGACTTGTAGTCTAGTTCTCAGTCCTTGACTTACCCCCCTGCTGAAAACAGATCTTGAACATACCGTCGGCCTCTTTGCTGCCCCCACGACGTGAGAGAGCTGAAGCAGGGAGATGAGCGAAAGGTTATTGCTGCAAAATGACTACCGCGCAGATACAATGTATCACAACAACATCCACAAACTGTATCTCTAGTCTAGTGAGATTGAATCGGAAACATATTGACAAACACGAAATGTCAATTGTCAAGCATTAGGCAGATAAACATAGCATAGCTCGCCACAGTAGTAGCAAGACAAGGACACACGCACAGTAAAAGGCCTCACAGAAAATCCATGGAAATAACCTAATAACAACCAACAAAGTCATTCAAGCACATGAGCTTACATTACACACACATAAATCCAATACATGCCAAGTTACATTTAATTATTTTGACGCTGACAAACGGCATTTTCTTACCATTGACCTCCACGCGTTGCTAGCCATACTGCCGTGTTAATTTGGTCCTCCGCGGCTCTGCTCTGCCGCTACCGGGACTTCCGGGCTGGAAGCTGATGATGTCGTCACCTGCGCGAAGCGGTGGTCAGAGCGACTACGTTCATGTGTTTCCAGATTGGACAAATTTCTTCTTCTTCTTCAGTGGGGTTTATTTATGTTATGGTGCATTACCGCCACCTACCGTACTGGAGTGTGGCCCAGAGACAGGGATAAACTAAATCCTACCTGCCAACCCAGTTTCTCTTAAAAAATACAACAGAATATGTGATACTATATCTAATGACGTCCTACTCAATATACTCTTTAAACTAATTTCCTGTATCCCCTTCTCCCTCATACTTAATCTCATCCTCTCTCTGATACTGTCCACACTGTAGCAATACATGCTCCACAGTCTCTATTTCCTGACAATAATGAATACCCATCTGTTTAATCCTGCCATGGGTTTGTAGCGCCTCATAAAGCAGGTCTTGTCTGCTACGTGAGCTAAAGGACTGGAGACTCAGTCAATGAGGAACGCCCAGCCCCACAACTCCTTCCCCGTCAGACAGCGCATCACATTTAGCACCTTCTTACACTTTCCCACCACCAAATCAAATCAAATTTATGTCATGAATACACAGGGCAGCATAAGTGAAATCTTACTTCAGCCTAACCAAGTGCATTTATTACAGAACGTAAAAATAAAACACACAAACAGTGTGAAAAAAAAGGCAAAGTAAATAAATACATGGGAGCTTATATACAGGGGGGTACCGGGCAGGTCAATGTGCGGGGGCACCGGCTAGTTGGGTGTTGAAGTAATAGTACAGGGGATTAAGTGACTATGCATAAATATTAACAGAGTAGCAGCAGCGTAAAAAGGATGGGGTGGGGGGGCAGTGCAAATAGTCCAGGGTAGCCATGATTAGCTGTTCAGGAGTCTTATGGCTTGGGGGTAGAAGCTGTTGAGAAGTCTTTTGGACCTAGACTTGGCACTCCGGTACCGCTTGCCGTGCGGTAGCAGAGAGAACAGTCTATGACTAGGGTGGCTGGAGTCTTTGACAATTTTGAGGGCCTTCCTCTGACACCGCCTGGTATAGAGGTCCTGGATGGCAGGAAGCTTGGCCCCAGTGATGTACTGGGCCGTACGCACTACCCTCTGTAGTGCCTTGCGGTCGGAGGCCAAGCAGTTGCCATACCAGGTGGTGATGCAACCAGTCAGGATGCTCTCGATGGTGCAGCTGTATAATTTTTTGAGGATCTGAGGACCCATGCCAAATCTTTTCAGTCTCCTGAGGGGGAATAGGCTTTGTCGTGCCCTCTTCACGACTGTCTTGGTGTGTTTGGACCATGATAGTTCGTTGGTGATGTGGACACCAAGGAACTTGATGCTCTCAACCTGTTCCACTACAGCCCCGTCGATGAGAATGGGGGCGTGCTCAGTCTCTCAATGTGTTCTGCCCAGGTCAGTCTAGTATCAAAGTATACCCCAAGGAACCTGAAGGCCCCCCACCCTCTCCAGGTTTCTCCCATATAACCTCAAGCATACCTCACCTCCCACCTTCCTCCTGGTAAAGAACACTGTCTGAGTTTTCTCTACAGAGAACCTGAATCCCCACATTAATGCCCACCGCTCTACCTCATCAATTGCTTCCTGCACCTTCCTGACTATGTATGGCACATTTCTTCCCCTCTTCCATAAGGCCCCATCGTCTGCAAATAACCACCTCCCTATATCCGGCTGTACCTGAGAGTAAACATCACTGATCATGATTGAGAACAACAGAGGACTAATCACGCTCCCCTGCGGTGTACCATTATCCACCAGGTAGCTGCCTGATAAAGACTTCCCCACCCTCACCTGGATAGACCTTCCAAACAGGAAGTCCTTTATCCAGTTGTACATTCTTCCTCCTACCCCCATAATATCAAGCTTGATTAACAACCCCATCCTTCCACATCATATCATACGCCTTCTCCACATCAAAAAAAGACAGCTACAACAGTCTCCTTGTTCCCCTGAGCCTTCCTGACCTCTGCTTCTAAGCAGAGCACTGGATCCATAGTTCCCCTACCCTTCCTGAACCCACTCTGATGTGGCGATACTAGCCCTCTGCTCTCCAGGAAGTAAGTTAGCCTCTCCGTGATCATACGTTCCATAATCTTACATACATGTGATGTTAAAGCTATTGGCCGATAGCTTGTTGGCTTCGTTGGATCCTTCCCGGGCTTCCGGATTGGTCCCACTACTGCCTCCTTCCAACTGCCTGGTAGTTTCCCCTCCTCCCACACTCTGTTGTACAACACCAATACCTTATCCAGTGCCTCATCAACTAAGATGGGCCAACATAACATAGCACACCTCATCTTTCCCAGGTGAAGTTAACCCAGCCTTAGCTATTGCTCTTTTCACCTCTGCCCTGGTAAATGGTGCACTCAACACATCATTTACATCCTCCCTCCTTTCCAGCACTCCAGGATGCTCCTCTCTCGTGTTCTCTCTCCCCCTCTGCCCCTCCTCTGACAGATTTGCTGAGCTATGCACTTGGACAAATGCTTTGGCCATCATCTCTGCCTTTCTCCTCATCTGTTACTGCCACATCCTCCCCACTCGTCAACACCGGATAGTCCCACCCCCTTCTGACCCCACTCATCCTCTTAATCATCCCCCACACTTCTCCCACAGGTGTCGCCCTTCCAATGGTGTCACAGAACCGATGCCAACATGACCTCTTTGCCTGACGGATAAGTTCTCCTCACCATGGCCTGGGCCTGCTTATATTGAATCAGACGTTGGAAATGATGCGTCCTTTTCAGTACTCTAAATGCCCTGTTCCTAATCCTCACCGTTGCCCCACATTCCTCCGTCCACCATGGAACTGCTTTCCTCCTCCTCCTCCCTGAACTCTTAGGTATAGCCTCAGTAGCTGCCCCCCACTAACGCTGTTCTCACCCAGTTATTCATACTATCCACATCCCCTCTCATATCCACCCGAGCCGTCACCTGCTCACTCAGCTCCTGAAAACTGATCCCACTTTGCCCTTCCAACACACCCACCTGCCTACTCCCTCCACTGACACCGCCCCTCCCTTGGCCTACTGTGCATACTATGGGTAATGACCACTCCCTACTGTGCATAGAATGGGGTAATGTATCACTCCCTACTGTGCATAGAATGGGGTAATGATCACTCCCTACTGTGCATACTATGGGGTAATGATCCCTCCCTACTGTGCATAGAATGGGGTAATGATCACTCCCTACTGTGCCATCTTGGGTAATGAACACGACCGAGGCAGACTATGGGGTACTCATCCTTCTGCCTCATAAGAATGGGGTATTATCACTCCACACTGTTCATACATGGGTAATTCCCTCCCAAGCTGTTGCATGAAGGGGGTAAGATCACATCCTACGTCTTAATGGCCCTCCCCACTCTAGTACTTCACTCCCTACTTGCATATTCAATATCCAATATCCCATGGGGTTATTTGGGCAACCCCCCTTAAAATTTTTCAAATAACTGTATTTCCCTACTCCACCCTTTGGTTGCTTGCAATCTTTGGCTTCCAGAAAGCCTCTCCAAATTCCTTTTCCCTTTATGCTAACCCTCACACCTCCCTTTTCGCTTTCTCCCTGCCTCCCTCTTATGACCACTTGCCACCTCAAACTTCCCTATTGTTCCCGGCCTTTCCCCCCTGCGATTTTTTTTCCAAACCAAAAATCTCCCAACCTTTTCCTTAAAACCCCCAAAAACTATTTTATCAAAAAACCCTAACATCGGGGTCATCGAATTCCCCTTAAAAACTTAAAAAATACTTTATGTTTACCCCCTTTTTCCCCCTTGGGGTTTTCTTTCCCCCCGGGGCTTTACATGAAATTGCTGGTTGGAACAGGTGGTCCTAAACCCTTTTTGATAAACCTTGTTTAAAACTCCCTTTTTTTTGCTTTTTTTTTTTCACCCCCCACCACACCCATCCTCTGCCCATCTCTTACACACATTACCCGTCCTTAGAATTTAACAGAATAACGTGCTATCTCCTATCTCACCCCATTGTTCTGCAATCTTTGTGCTCAATAGACGCCTCCTCTCAAGATGTTCCCTTATCTCTTCAGTGCTAACACTCACAGGCACTCCTGTTATCAGCCCTTTACTCCACTGCCTTCCCTGCTTGATCAGTCCAGCTTGCTCGACTCCACCTTACACTTCCCTGTTTGCTTCACTCCGATAGCTTTTCCCCTCTGCGCCATGTCCTTACAGCACACCAACAATCTCCCATCTCTTAACACTTTAGCATTAACAACCTTCCCCAATCAACTCTTTTATCACAGCCGTCAATCTTATCGGAGTCATCGCCCCAACTCCCCCTTCCTCCCTAAACTTCATAATCACTTTATGCTCCTCCTCACCTCCATGTTCCTCTCGTGTCTTATCTTGCCCTTCCGCTGCACTTTCTGCCTCCGAACTTCCGCTAGCGTTGGAATCTAGGTTGCTCTCCTCAAACTTCCTTTTCTGCCTCCATAGACCTCTCGCTCCCCTTCAAACCACTACTCCCTTTCTCTCCCGCTTTCTTTTTCTCTTTCTTACTCCCTCCTTTATTTGTACCACTATGTTCCATACTTGCTTCCCTTTCCTCTCCATCACCATCTCTGGCCCATTCACAGCACGGCCGTGCGGAACCGCCGCCACACCGAGTAAAGTTTGTTTGTTTCTCAACGATTTCAAAAATCCCTCTCCTCAACCTACCATCAGCAATGTATCTAATGTCTGTTTATCTTAATACTACAACGTGAAACAAATCCGCGATAAAAGCACTTCAGTAAAATAATGCACGTTGAAAATTACTGGTTTTGATCGACATAATATGCCTACTTTGCAGTGGTGTAAAGTAAATAATGTACTTTTTACTCCATTCGTTTTCCCGGACACCCAAAAGTACTGGTTAAATTTTGAATGCTTGGCAGGACAGGAAAATGGTCAAATAAACGCACTTGTCAAGAGAACATCCCTGGTCATCCCTACTGCTCTGGTCTGGAGGACTCACT